TTGCCGTCTTCGAGGCCGAGATAGGAGACAATATAACCAGCTTCTCATGGGAGCAATTAGTAGAAGCACTTTGGAGTGGCTGCTGCATCGGAGGACTGAGCACGCATGGGAATGCCCAATGTGCAGTGACGTCGATTGTGAAAACAGAAAATAACATACCATCATGTAGGGAGTCGGCAGTCCGAAGCTCAAGTTCAAGGTGTCTCCTTCGTGCCAAAGAACTGCATGGCTGTTGGGTGAACAGTCGTTAACGAAGGCAGTCAAGTCATTGTAGGGGCGACGCTTGCTAGTGGATGTAATGTCCTAAGCCCCTTCTCCAGCTAATAGTTAGGGTTCTGCTGGGTTGACCGTTTATTACCCCTCACGTAATGCTTTACGTCAAAATGGACACTAGGCACGGTCACTTTTTTTTAGCCTTAGCTAATTGTGTGTGTGTGTGTGCGTGTGTGTGTGTGTGTGTGTGTGTGTGTGTGTGTGTGTGTGTGTGTGTGTGCTTTTGCCAGACGGTGGCTGTTGCATTTTTGCTAAATTTGTATTTGGAAGGATATAGTTTCGTTGCCCAGCTTCTGAGTTGAGTGCATGGCGTGACATTGTGAGCTGTGGATTTTATTTGAACTGTGATAAACATTGTGTGTGTTTTTTGTTGGCACAAGAGCGGAGCAACTGTGGGGTGACCCGTTCGCTATGAAGCTTAAACTGAGATTACCAGATTACGAGATTACCAGATCCTTCAATGAACGTAAAATTATGACAACAGAGATGAAATGCCTTAGAAGAGATGCAGGCGTTTCAAGGAAAGACAGCATACGAAATCACGAAATCAGACGAATGCTAGAAATAAGCCAGTCTTACAGGTCATCAAAGAACAACAAATGAAGTGGATTGGACACCTAACAAGAATGCCCTGGTACTATGTGCCACAGCGAGCCACACTAAAACGTTACAAAGGGTATAGAGCGAGTGCAAGACATCGGAAAATATGAAGTGATGGCATTAAGAACAACCTTACAAAAATAAACATCAGTCTTAATAGTGCTCTTGACAGAGCTCATCAACGAATATTACATCTCCCCCCGACACTTCGATGAGGTACACGGTGGATGAGAAGAAGAAGAAGACAATTCTCATTTTAGTGTGTTGTTAACTCTCAGGCTGTCAGTAATTTGTTCATCCTTTTGAAGACAGTTTTAGCCATTCCTATTCTGAAACTGTCGCCAGTTCTGTCTTTGTTCTTTATGCAGAGATTTCGGTTCGCGACGAGTCACTCTTTTGGCGTTTTATACAGTTTTAGCCATTCTGCTACTTAAAGGCTCAAAATCTTAATCTGGATGGTAGACCGACAAGGTAGGTCCCAGATATCCCGTTTAACCTCCCAAACAAAGGTAAAATTAAAGCACCTATGACTTTTCACCAACCAGGTGTAACCTGTAGGCCTATGTGGGTAAGAACCTATGTAAAAAAAAAAAAAAAAATGATTACACGAGATAAAACAGAATATAAAAAGGGAATCGGGGGTCTCCATGGCGAAGTAGTCAATCTGTTTGCCTCGCACTCTGAAGGTCGTGTGCGATGCCATTCGGGTCACCAGTGCAATTTTTACCGAAATCACTGGGATCGTCGCCGGGGAGGTGTTGTGTGCGACGCTCTCGACAGGCAGCTAGCTATTTTGCCGAGAGAGACTGAGGCAGATGGAATCAAACCTGGTGCAATGAAGTCGATCCTCTTGCCTTAACTTTTTGTTTTTGGAACCGGACAGAATAAGAAAGGGGAGTTGCCGTGGCCGCGCGGCTAGACGCTCGCCGTAGATCGGAAGGTCGTGGGTTCGCTCCCTTTTTCAAAAATGACCTTGGCCCTATAACCCTACAAGCGTGGAGAAGGGTCCTTTACTTTAATTTTTTTTATAGAATAGGAAGGTAGATTTGGTGCTGGGGTGAGGGGTATCTTTTCTATCACAGATAAGACAATAATGACCACATTGTGGCCAAGAGAAGTCACCGTTAAAAACAGGAAAACGATCTTTTCTGAACGAGTTTGTTCTCTTGAAAATGTTCAGATTGTTTTATTGATGGCTGTGCTGTGAGATCTGTGAGCATGTGGTAAAACGCAACTATTGCAATGACTGCTAGTACTAAACAGCTGGCTGTTGGGGATGATCAAACAAACAAGTAGTTACAATACAGCACACTCAACAACAGCATCATAGCGAAGATGCAAAGTTCCTTAGGGAAAAAAAAACTTGAACATGATTTTGCTTGTCCCTCCCTCACTCGCTCGCTCGCTCACTCACTCACTCACTCACTCACTCACTCACTCACTCACTCACTCACTCACTCACTCACTCACTCACTCACTCACTCACTCACTCACTCACTCACTCAGTCACTCACTCACTCACTCACTCACTCACTCACTGACTGACACACACACTCACTCACTCACTCACTCACTCACTCACTCACTCACTCACTCACTCACTCACTCACTCACTCACTCACTCACTCACTCACTCACTCACTCACTCACTCACTCACTCACTCACTCACTCACTCGCTCGCTCCCTCACACACTCACCTCAAGCTTAGGCACATTGATAACCCTGTTTTAAAACGAGTACACCAACTCATTATTGTCACTTTATTTGAAAACCACAAACATTGCCTTATTTTTCAGAAACTGTATTCATATGTAGGAAAAGAACATGCGTCTGTATAATCAACAGCACCCTAATATCATGAACAGTATAATGAAAACAGATTGCTATACGTATAACATAAACATAAGGATAGAATAGGTAACACTTTTCTCAAAGTCTACGAACTATCACTGTGACTCGCGGTCTACGCTTCACTTAAGAAAAGACCCACTGCCTACCCACAAGCATGTCGTAAGAGCCTATTGGGAACTTCCTTCGAAGTCGGAGTGCATCTGCCGGAGACACAAGTAACAAACAGTCTGCATACAGATGAGTCAGATTTGTAAAACGGATGTCCACGCAACACTCAGCTTCTGGGACAGAACTGCAGTCCAGAAGTGGCGAACAACCAGAACTTTCCGCCTGAGTTTACTTACAGCCGACGAACAAGAAGAAGAAGAAGAAGAAAAAGACTTAAGTACTATTGTATGCAGTCTTGAATATAATCCATCCAGTCCATCACTTTTGGCCTCCCTCTCATCAACTTTGTTTTAGAATTCTTCTTGGACGTCCAGGGGGGGGGGGGGGGGGGTCATCTCAACATGAGGGAACTGTAATAAAGAGTCGGGGCATTAGGAAATTTGAGAGCCACTGATTTAAGAGATGTTGTAGAACAAACACAGCACTTGTTATATGGTTTGGGTTTTTAAAAGGAACTTTTCCACGCCTCCAGACTTATTGGGTATATAGGGCTAAACCTATATTCTATAGATCAAACGGCACTTGGTGGGTGATGTGGTCAGCATCAAACCAGCCGCCTTTACTTCCCACTCAAGGCTGGGTCGACATGGGAGTTAAGGTCATTTTATGGGTTGGTTTTACTAGACAATTTTACGTTCATTAGTTTCAGGTCAGCTTTTGTGGTTTGATCGTTGCGAGCGCGCTTCGTAATGCCGGGTTCGATTCTAGCTGCTGATAATTCGGAAGCAAAACATCTTGCGTGGGTTTCGACAGTGGTACCGAGAGCTTACAGTAAAGGCAACAATGGCAAACTACTGAACGTAACATTTGCCTAGAAAAGCCACAACAGCCAAATAATGCTGCGATTAGTTCAGCAACTTCCTATAAATGATACGCAACTAACTAGTTTACCATTGCTCTCTGAACTGTCAGATGTCAATAAGCATGATGACATGAGTCCAAGGCGGTCTTCTGCCAAATCGCCCCCCGTCGGAATCAAACAAGATACCTCGGAATTACGAACAGCGTTCGCAACGCCTAAGCAACAAACGCCTAATTCTCCTCAGGATGTGCCAAATATATCATCATTTTCTTCTTTGTTGCACCAGAGGTAGATGGGGAAAAAAAGCAAAAAATAAATGCATTCTTGTGGTTTACAAAAGACTTTTTGAAATACATCCTTAAACGAGTCAACTACTTATAGATTGGATAGCAGCAGCAATATGGCTTACAATAGACTAATTTAGCAAATACTTCGAATAGGCAGAGTAAATAAAAACGTACATTATGCCTGAAAAAAAAGGTAATCTTCTTTATCATAGTTTGTCTGAGTGACGTAAACGTGCCTGACTACAACCTAGCTGAGATATTTTAGCCTTTCGACCGACACCCGACACACCCGACTTCTTCAATCATTTATTCTCCTGACCAGCTTTCACGGGGAAATATGGTCAACCCCCCCCCCTCCCCCAATACCACCCCACCTTCTTTTTATCACAAAACTAACAAGACAGACACCATGGATGATGTGGTAGACATGACACCAGTCGCGTTTACTTCTCGGAAATTTTATTCGTTGAAAGCATTGCCCCTTTCTTTTATCAAACTTTAGTAAATGACCGTTTTTACGCTAACAGCGCAACTGGTATATTATGCCAGCATTGTCATATTTATCAGGTGGATATAACCTTCAATGGGTACCAAATGCAGTTCTGGAAAGTAATGGCTGCCGGCTTGATGCTCATCACATCATCCAGCTAGTGCCATTCTATACAATTTAAGTCTAGCCCTATATGCCCTAAACGCCTGAAAGGAAAGGAGGACGGGCAGAGGGAGAGAAAGGTCTTTTACTTTATATCATATTTATAGAACTATCGACATTAAGTGGGTGATGTCGTTACATTACGCCGATCGCCTTTACTCTGCAGGATACAGACACGTGCTTTAGGAAGGGTCGACCTAGTCCAATTGAAAAAAATATATATATAAATAGTATATATAGTATAGTAAACATTATGAACCAAAATAAATTATTGTTAATGGTGTCACGATCTAAATTTGAGTGAGGAAAGCAACAGCATGATTCAGAACAGAGAGCAAAGCAAATTTACATTAAAAAAAAAAAAACATTGCCGGCATACATGCATTATTATATCTCTGTATATAAAATCAACCGCAAGTCCAGCGATGCGTTAAAATTTTCACACATGGATATGATGTAGCAGTTTGTAGAGCGTGACAGGACACCCTGGCAACTATTTCTTCTCGTAAATAGCTTTGTCCCCCGAGGTTCCTCCACGGCCATACCCTGTAAATAAATAAAAAAAAAAAAATTTTAAATGACAAAAAGCCAAACCCGTACATCTATCTTACTGTCGCCGTCTTTCTTCATCTGCGTCGTCACTGTGAATATTTGAATTCTTTCAGTAGTAAACACATACAAAATATCAAAGCAAAACTTGTGGCCAAGATAAACACCTGTGGAAGCCAAACTTTACAGGTCGCTGAATGAATTACAAATTGGGTGACGCGACACCTTGGGTTACAGCCAGCGTTTGCCAGGGGTACCGCGGCAGTAATAATTTTAGAAGTCGACTCAAAATTATAAAATTATTGAAGATATCGTGAAGATATTTAAAAAGTCAAAACAAATTTGAAGATATTGCTAGCGAGAATATAAAGATGCGTTTAAATTACATCAAACGAAGAGCTGAAGAAACGGCTGAATTCGGCTGCTTTCGTTCCTGTCATCGCATTAAAGACAACTGAACCTCAAATTTGCAGTCCCCCCCCCCCCCCCCCCCTTTTTTTTCCCCTAAGTATTTAAACCGCTTTAAGGGGAGCTGTGCATCAAAATGTGTTTAGCTCGACAAGGGGGCCGCGGGGGAAAATAGTTTAAGAACCGCTGCTATAGACAACATTGCGGATATAGATAATCTATTTCAAACGAACGTTAGTGAACCCTATTGTAATAAGGTGTTAATTTAGGTACTCAGTGTTTACATTTTCTATTTCTTCTTTTTAGCGGTCACATTCTTGAGGAACATTCTGGCTATTCGTCCACTTCTGCATTCTGGTCCTTTCCCAGGATTTAAAGTTTGCAGAAGGAGCCTGTTTCTTTACAGACTGTTGGTTCAACGCAACTCGGGCAGATGCACTCAGACTTGGAAGGAAGAGCACTTAAATAGTCACCTTTTACGATATGCTTATTAGCGGGTCAGTGAGTCTATCCCCCACTAACTGCGCCCCGAAACCCACACGACACTGTTTTAATCTGAGTTAGAATAACAGTATGAGACGGATTGAGTTAAGGTAATATTTAGAACAGAAATGTTTAATACAACAACTTGACGGCAGAAAAACTAAGTGGATTGATGCTTTGACTAAAGAGAATCGACAGGTATACTGTTAAAAAAAAAAAAAAAACCGCATACATGGCCTGTTTTTATTAGTTTGTAAATACAATATCGTACCCAGGTATTGGAAAACCAGACTCAAATGTTGCTTACTGTTCGAGAGGACACGGCGGAAATTGCCTGGGTTTTTGTGATTGTTACAATGCATAGCTCATAATGCGCGCACAAGAAAGCAAAACAATTTGGGGTGAACACTATTTACTGCCTTCGCAACTGAAACCCTATAAAAGGATAACGCTACATCAAAGTATTCAGTCATTTTTAAGCAGTAATGAATGGCACCTCTATAGTTAAATTTAAGGAATATTGCTATTGGCCGATTTCAGGAAGGATAAAGTCAAAGTCAGATAGCCAGGCATCTAAATGTGCATTAGATTACCATTGCCTCCACGCCACTGGTTCAGTTGAAGACCGATATTGCAGTGGACGACCCAGAGTGACAACAGCAGTGGAGAATCGCATTATTCGGCTTCGTAATCTTAGAGACAAGTTTACAACAGCTTCCTCAACTGCGCAGGCGTTGCCTCCAGGACGTCATGTGTCTGATCAAACTGTTGGGAACAGACTGCATGATGTTGAACTTTGGGCACGATGACCACACCCAGGACCTGTCTACACGTCGCCACCGCCAAAATCGACTTCTTTGGGCCAACAAACATCGTCCGTAGGCAGTCGGGGCGTGTTTCTTTTTGTTGCAGCGTCGTGAAAGACGGCGTAGTGTCTACCGTAGGCGAAATGAAGATTTAGCCCAAAATTATTTTGATAAAGCTCTGCTGCACGGTGGTGGAGGTAAAATGGTGTGGGGAATGATTAGTTACAACGGAAGGAGTCAATTGGTGCACATTAAAAAAGGATGAATGCGCAACGACACGTCAAAAAAAAATTCTTCAACCACATGTCCTTCCATTTTGGGATGCCAACAGATATAATTTTCAACATGGCAACGCCAGACCCCATACTGCACTATTGGCCCCGCAGTTCCTGGCTTCCATTAACACTGAAACCCCTTTCCTGGCCATCCCTGTCTGCAGACATAAGTCAGACTGAGCAACTGAAGGCGTGTTTGTCGCCGAGTCATTGCTCCAACCAATGGTTGTAAACTGTTCCAGGCACTCCAGGAAGAGTGGGCATCCAGCCATCCCACAGGCCCACATCAGACATTTGATCACATCCATGCCCCAGAGATGCCATTCACTGATCCACGCAAGAGGAGGCCACACACGATACTAATGGGAAAGGCCGTACGCCTACAAATTATCGTGACTCAGATGCAACCAGAAAAAGTATAAACTGCTGATTGGCAGAATACTAAGGTTTGTGAAATTTGAGTACTTTCACTTACTACGTTACAAAGACGCAGGATGTCAAAATTGTGAGTATGTATATTCCTTTCAATATCTTCATTTCTTTCTGTCTTTTTGTTTTGGACATTATATAATTATAGGTCGGTTTACTTCATGTTGGAGTCTTTTAACTTATACGGTTAATTGGGGCGCCAACACCAAGAAAACATTGGTTTAGCGGACGGTGATGGGGAAAAGAGGGCGCTGGGGGAAAGGGTTGGGGGGGGGGGGGGTTCTGTGACGAAAAGGTCAATCACTCTCTCAGTGATACAAGGTTTTACATGAAAAATAGAGTGAAGAAATAGCCGTGAAGACAAAGTACGAATGCATTACTTTCGAATTGGCAGTACACATAGTGATTTTTACATTGAAGAAACTATATTTTTTAATCTGTTGTGGCTAAGTATTAAACTTAAGAGAGATCATATTATGCAATGGACGGAGATCAAGAGGTAGTGTCACTCCCACACTGTGCTTTGCTCGAGATTTAAAGAGTTAAAACCGTTTGCCTCGTTCTCCGAGTATCATTGTTTCGTTTCATGGGCTGCTATATTTAGTTGCGCGCCCTTTCTAGAGAAATTCTGGGGATTATCACTGGAGCTACGGAGTTGATGCTTTATGCGGAACTCTCAGCATGTTGCTAACCTTTCGGCAGAGAGAGACGGTCATATGGGATAAAACATAGTGCAATTAAGTCCCTCCTCTGGACTTTTAATCTCAGATGCTGAATTTCCCGTCTATGATTGCAGTTTGTATGATTGACATCTCAAGCTTAAGAATCAAACAGCTAAGTCGGGGAAATCACCTTAAACTGTATATCTATATAGCACAGTTATACTGGGGCACTACAAAACGGCTCCCAAAATAACTTGTAGTCCAGCATGGTGTGGAATCTGCTTTTTTTTTATTTGAAGCCCCACCCTGGCAATATAGGCAGGCCATAAATATAGCCAATTGTCTGAACGCGGTTTCTGGGACCTCTCCACCGTGATCCTCATCCTCATGGTGGCACTTTGTGTCATCAGGTGTTTATCGCTTGTGTGATGTCCTGGTGGGGTAAAGTCAGTCAGTCAGTCAGTCAACAAGAACTGTAATTCACATAAATAAAAAGAGAGGGAAACCTTCTACTCCTTTGCATGAAGTGACAGGTTCGATTCCCGGCAGGGTAACTTTAGTATTTGAATTTTATGTTGTCTTATGTGTGCTATCAATGAATACATTGTTTTATATATATATATATATATATATATATATATATATATATATATATATATATATATATATATATATATATATATATATATATATAAACACAAGAACTGGTATCTTATTAGCTCTCAGGTCAACCCAGCCTATAGTTTGTCTTTGGAAATGTTCTGAGAATTAATGACAATGGTCGCAATTTTGGCAACATCATCCATTTCTTTTCGTGGAACTGTTTCTTCTTAGCTTTCACTGCCCGTAATCTCCGGGGGAAATCTCTGGCTGCTTGTCCATCTGTGATCTTGTTCTAGAGCTCCTCAGTGATCTTTCTCTTCTTAGCGTTCACAGACTTTTAACTCTAGAGGAAAGTTCTTGTTCTTTGTCCGCTTCTGAACTTTGGTCTTGTTCTAGTAATTAAGTTTTGGGTGCCCATTCGGTTTGCAGATGTAGCTTATTTGTGTGCAGATTGTTGATTCATAGATTCTCATGCAGATGCATTCCGATTTCGGGTAAAAGGTTAGATTAGTACCATTTTACGACATTTTAGATCAGTTTATTACCTCAAAACGGGGGCCCCAAAACCAACACACGGAGAGGTCCCATATGTGACGACGAATTCTAAGCCAAGGCGAGTGGTAGGTGAGCTTGCCTGACAAAGTAGGATCCTGTTCAATCTTTGACAGAAGCAGCTTAATATGTTTACATGGGGTCGACCAAGCTGACAGAAGTTTTTTTTTAACTGTCTGTGAATTGCCTGGGAGTGAAAGAGAACTGGCGACCACAACCTGTACTTTTTGAGCTAAAATATTTTGGCGCCGGAAGCTGGAAACTCTGGCGCCTTGAACCCCCGCCCCCCCCCCCCCCCCTAAAAAAACTGGGGAGGGAGAGGGTGACCCCCGCCAGAATAATTCTTAAAGGCAGGGTGGGGTGGGTAGCCCACGCCCTATACATTGTGCAAGAAGTTTTAGTGGCCTTCCCCTAACCATGTATAGACGTTCTATTTTTTTTTAAACGTTTCATGTTATTTCAAATAGTGTATATTATTATATTTACTTGCCACCCAGAACTTAATAATATAACAAAAATTCGTATTATTATTTAAAGAAGGCCCAAATCTTATAAAGGGACTGGAGACAGTCCTCATTTCCCCATGTGTGTTGATGGCTGCGAGCCTATGCTGGGGCATGAAATTTCCCAAATCAAACGCCACGAATGTGTCTAATAGATCATCTCAGCTTTCTTTACCGTATACTTCAGATAAATCATGACCGGCAAGGAGTCCCTTAGTTGAAGTTTATCTCCTACTGACCCCTTCAATCAAATGTACTACTGTCTGTTTCATACTGCCTGTCTTTCAATCAAATTACTCTTTTTAAATATCATATCGTCTCTCTTTCAATCAAAAGTATTTTTCCCCGTCTTGCTGTCTCTCTTCTTCGTCTTCACGTTCGCCAACCGTAAATTCTGAAGGAAAGCCCTGGTTGGTCGTCCACTTATGGGTGTTGGTCTTGTTCGAGGACTTGTGTTTTGCGAACAATCATTCATTTTTCAGATATGGCTTATGTGGGAGCAGATTATTGGTTCCTTGTCTCTCAGACATGTGTACTCGGACTTCGAAAGAAACGTCGCCCTTTTCTGGTACACCACACCTCATGAGAATGGATGTTGATCAGTATCAACCCCGATTCTGGTGCCTCACCTACATGAGAATGGATTTTGACCACTATTATTCCGGTTCTGGTACACCACACCCCATGAGAATGGATTTTGACCACTATTATCCCGGTTCTAATACACCACACCCCATGAGAATGGATTTTGACCACTATTATCCAGGTTCTGGTACACCACACTCCATGAGAATGGATTTTGACCACTATTATCCCGGTTCTCGTACACCACACCCCATGAGAATGGATTTTGACCACTATTATCCCGGTTCTGCTACACCACAAACCATGAGAATGGATTTTGACCAATATTATCCCGGTTCTGGTACACCACACCCCATGAGAATATATTTTGACCACTATTATCCCGGTTCTGGTACACCACACCCCATGAGAATGGATTTTGACCAATATTATCCCGGTTCTGGTACACCACACCCCATGAGAATATATTTTGATCACTATTATCCCGGTTCTGGTACTCCACACCCCATGAGAATAGATTTTGACCACTGTTATCCCGGTTCTAGTACATCACACCCCATGAGAATATATTTTGACTCTTTAACGAAACTACTTTCATATATGTATCTTTTTCTTCAGTCAAATGTACTTTTCGTCGCTTACTATCTTTCTTTCTTTCAAATGATCTTTTTATCTCATACTATATCTTTTTTTTTTTTTTGTCAAATGTACTTTTTATTTCATACACTAGATAAGAGCTATTCAACTAACTTTTCTTAGGGGCCAAAATATTAAAATGAGGATCGACACGGGCTAGAGACCTAAAGCCCGAGATAGAAAATTCATTTCCGCTATTTACCCCAGCGAGGTGTTGGGGGGAGGTGTAAGGATCGTTTGTGCGCTTTATCCAATGCATTGTACAAGTCGGTGTTCATTTCTGTTATGTTGCTCCTGATGATGTCGCTCCATATCTTGCGTGGTCTTCCCCTTGCTCTGTGTTCTTTATATTTCTTGATTAACGAAATATAAATGGCATTGATCAGCTGGCCAGTTGGTAGACCTCTGAGGGCCAGATGTGGCCCGCCGGCCGCCAGTTGATTAGCCCTGCACTAGACCATTCAATCAAATATACTTGTTATCTTGATCTCTCCTGGAATCAGTTGAGCATGTATACAACAATCTCATACTAACTCATTTTTAATCAGATGTACTTTTTATCGCACGCTTTCTCTCTTCCAAATAAATGTACATTTATTCTCATAGTCTCTTTCAGTCAAATCTACTGTTTATCCCACTGTCTCACCTTTGATCAAATGCACTTTCAGTTTTTCACACCCAACCTTCTTTCAATCAATGATACGTATTATCTTTTAAAAAAGTATACATGTTATCTCATCTTGTCTGTATATCAATGAAAAGCACTATTTCACATGTTATCTTTATCAGTTATATGTACCACACACTTCGGAATGGCTTCCAGCAGCTAAGGTCTTGGAACATTTAGCACACTTCAGACAGGCTGGGTGCCAGTCTTTCCCCATGGATGTCTTCCTCTCGGCTGTAAAGACAAATGGAAGTCAACAGTTAGCTTCATTCGCCACTAAAGTGTCAATTAACATATGCTGGAGATGTCTGGGAAGTGTGTTTAATTTAATGATATCCGAATCACAGACAGTAGTGACAGTTTATAGGGTGGCATCCGAATCACAGACAGTAGTTACAGTTTATAGGGTGGCATCCGAATCACAGACAGTAGTTACAGTTTATAAGGAGGTATCCGAATCACAGACAGTAGTGAAAGTTCATAGAGAGGTATTCGAATCACAGACAGTAGTGAAAGTTTAGAGGGGGTATCGGAATAACAGACAGTAGGGACAGTTTAAAGAGAGGTATCCGAATAACAGACATCAGTGACAGTTTATAGAAAGGTATCTGAATCACAGACAGTAGTGAAAGTTTATAGGGAGGTATCCGAATCACGGATATCAGTAAGAGTTTATAGGGCGGTATCTGAATTACAGACCGTAGTGAAAATTTATAGGGAGGTATCCGAATCACAGTCAGTAGTGAGAATTTATTTGGAGGTATCCGAATCACAGACCGAAGTGAAAGTTTTTAAGGAGGTATCCAAATCACAGACAGTAGTGAGAGTTGATATGGAGATATCCGAATCGCAGACAGTAGTGAAAGTTTGTATGATGGTATCCAAATCACAGACAGTAGTGACAGTCTATAGGGAGGTATACGAATCACCGACCATGGTGATAGAACTTGTGACTAACAAGACTATCTTGAGTTAAAGAGATGTCTTCCTCAGTAAGAGCACTGAACTGCACAACCATTTTTTCCACATCACTTTTTTAATTTGCTTTTTCTCAGATGCTGAATTCTTAATTTGTCTGTAGTCTTTTCCCACTTTATCGATATTTCCTGCCAGATTTAACTATTCCACACAACACGGCTCATGGCATCCTATTAACGCGAAACTACACCAATACCTGTATCAGTTATGCCCCGCTTACCCACACCTTTCTATTGTAGAAGAGGTGGACCTAGGTATATTCTACCCATATGTAATTCACTATAGTGGATGTCCTTGACGACTCAGCAATACTCCATCCTCCAAGTATGTCCTTGCCGTATGAGCCTTCGAAGACTGGGCATTGAAAAGAATATGTTATGATATGTACTTTTTATAATACCCCAGCTTTTGTGATAATACCCCAGCCTTTGTATAAAACCCCAGTCTTTGTATAATACCCTAGCTTTTGTAAATAAAAACCCAGCCTTTGTGATAATACCCCAGCCTTTGTACAAAACCCCAGCCTTTGTGATCCTATCTGCTCGTAACTGTCGAAGTCGAACAGTCACCACTGTCTGTGTTTTACCATCTTTTAGGGCGGTGTAGACAGGGAGTCATGAACCTGAGAAATTAGGGCCGCAAGGCTAGTTCTGTCGCCACGGACTGTGCAGGTTATGATTTTTAATTTGGTCTCCGACTCTATTTACGGGGGGTAGGAGGGGAAGGGGGTAAGGGTCGAACCTGGGTCTCCCACAGGAAAGCCCGGCGTTTTACCACTTGGCCAGCCGCTCCTCACTGTTGAAGTGACTGAAGAAAATAATGAACTGGTTAAGATCACCCTTGATTTTTAAATTTTTTCCACCCCTATCCGTACACCTTGTGTACATCCTAATCAATTGATCTTTATTTGTTAGTCTAGAACCAGAGTTCTCATTTTTTTTTCCTGATCAGTTTGAGAACCTCTGGTCTAGAAGATTAGTCATTCTCAAACTAGACGCTGTGATTTCCCAAGTCATCATATCAGACTGTCCATTGTCTTGCTTCTTTGTCTTTCTCTGCCTCTCTTCTTTTCCAGCTTTCCCGTTGTCACGACATACTCCAGAGCTGTATTAGTACGTGATGTCCCTTATGATTGCACACATAAGGATTGTGTTGATGAAAACCATTCGCGTTTGTATTATATAATCCTCATATACATATATATATATATAAAGTTTTTTGGAAAACATCGAGCCTAAATAACTATGTCTAAAAAAATCTATGCTTGCAGATGCGGCGGTTATGTTCTCGACTTCCAAATCAACAGGTGATGTTTTAAAACATTCAACTAGCGATTCGAGACCTACAGTCGTCCCCATATGGGACGCAATTTTTCGTTATTTGAAGCCCCACCCTGGCTTTCGCTGGGGGCCCTGAATATAGCCAGGCCATAAGTATGGCCTAAACGGTTGAAAGGGATTTCTGGGACCTCTCCACGGGTGATCCTCATCCGCATTGTGGCATTTAATGTCACCGGGTGTTTGTCTCTTGTGTGATGTCTTGGTGTGGTACAACAAGAGAGAGAGAGAGAGAGAGAGAGAGGAGAGAGAGAGAGAGAGAGAGGAGAAAGAGAGGAGAGAGAGAGAGAGAGAGAGAGATATTTGAGGCCTATCATTCTATTTGCTTAGTCCTGGTGGGTATTAAGTCTTTAGCTGCTGTTATCAAGATATCCCTAGCTTGTACCGCCAGTTCATCAGGTGTCATTTCCTCTTGTACAGACATCAAGACCTCAAAACGGTTCTTCACTTAAGCTTTTTTTATGGTTAGCGGGGTAGGGGTATCCCCTATCAAAGGAGAAGTAAGACGCCTCCTTTCCTCCGCTAGTCTACGGGACACCCTTGGGCAAGGTGGAGTACCCGTTTAGCCCCCCAATCAGGGTTACGTGAAGCCATGGAAGCAGGTGGTGGATGGAGTGTAAGAGCAGCCGACAGGTATTGTTGGTTACGGTCTGCACTCTGCGGCGATAGGCAGATGATCTCATCAGTAGAGACAATGGCTATGGCCACCGACTAGTATAGTCACTGCTCAGGAGGAAAGCAACGGCAAACTACCTTCTGCAAATTTTGCCAAGAACCCATAACAATCATGAAAGAAAACATAACGCAGAAGAGATCTGGTGGCGAGACCCCCAGGCCAGGCAGATCAGATAACACTGGGGAAGAGTGTGATACAGGGGTCAGTACTAGTAATCGTGATGACGGAGTTAATCCTGACTGTGTTACCAAGGAAATCCACTGTGTCAGACTAAGAAACAGAATGCGAATAGGAACGTGGAATGTGAGAAGTCTGTATGAAGGAAAGCTTAAAGTAGTATGTGATGAGATTGAAAGATTAAATATTCAGATCTTAGGAATTTGTGAACATCGTTGGAGTGGCAAGGGACATTTTATCAATGAATATGGAAGCTTTTTCGTATATTCTGGTAGAGATGTAAGAGGCCAGAGCGGAGTGGCATTTTGTTTAGATAAAACAACAGCAAAAGCTATTATGGGATATAATCCAGTTAGTGATAGAATCCTAACTATCAGACTTAAAGGCCGTCAAAAAAACATAACTTTCATGCAGGTATATGCACCAACTTCAACAGCAGAGGAGGGCGAAATTGAAGATTTTTATGCCATACTGCAAGACACATTAAATAAAATTAATCAGAATGATATAATAATAATAATGGGAGATTTTAATGCTAAAGTAGGTACAGGCAGAGCTGAAAATGAGAGACACGTTTTAGGAAAATTTGGATTGGGTAATAGAAATGAAACAGGAGAAAAATTGATTGAATTTTGCATAGAAAATGAATTAACAATAGCTAACACACTTTATAAACAACACCCTAGAAGGCTTTTCACATGGACATCCCCTGACGGTGTTACCAAAAATCAGATAGATTACATTTTAATACAAAGAAGATGGAGATCGAGCATAACATCTGCAAAAACCATGCGAAGTGCAGATTGCGATACAGATCATCAGTTACTAGAAGCAGATCTGAAATTAAAACTCAAAAAGCTTACCCGAGGACCAAGGCCATTTCGATTTGATCTCACAAAAATACCAGATGCATACAACGTAGAAGTGAAGAACCGTTTTGAGGTCTTGATGTCTGTACAAGAGGAAATGACACCTGATGAACTGGCGGTACAAGCTAGGGATATCTTGATAACAGCAGCTAAAGACTTAATACCCACCAGGACTAAGCAAAATAAACCATGGATCACACCATACACGTTAGAACTAATAAAACAACGAAGGGAACTGAAAAAGAAAGGAGAAACCAATGACAGTAGGATGAAGTATAAATTTTTAACACGAGAAATAAGAAAGTACACAAGAAAGGATAAAAATCAGTATGTACAAGATTGCTGTATTAAAATAGAGCAGCATCACAAAAATGGAAGAGATTACGAAATGTTCAAGGAAATGAAGTTATTGACAAGAAATTTTCAACCTCAGTTAAATGTTATTTGTGACAAGTTGGGAAATACTTTAACAGAATCTAGACAAATTCTAGGAAGATGGCAGGAATACTGCAGCGGAATGTATGATATGAATGACAGTGAGGATATGAATGATATACATGAACCAGAAACAGTAGAGGCAGAACCTGAACCCTCATTAGATGAAATTTCATGGGCAATAAGGAGCCTGAAAAACGGTAAATCACCTGGATGTGATGAGATACCAGCTGAATTGATTAAAGCGGGAGGAGAAGAAAGCATAAAAATCTATCATGCATTATGTGAAAAGATATGGAAATATGGTATTTGGCCAAAAGACTGGAAGAGAACTATCTTCATTCCAATACCAAAAAAGGGTGACCTGAAATTATGTACAAACTATCGAACTATTGCCCTGATCAGTCATGCAAGTAAAATTCTACTAAAAATTATAATGAGAAGACTGCAAAAGAAAATGGAAGAAGAGATTAATGTAGCTCAGGCTGGATTTAGACAGGGAAGAGGAACAAGAGATCATATATTTAACATGCGTTTAATAATAGAGAAGTGTAGAGAATTTAATGTAAATCTGTTCTTATGTTTTGTGGATTATTCAAAAGCATTTGACTGTGTACAACATCAGAAGCTTTGGGAAATCATGAGGAATATGGGCTTTCCATCACATATAGTGCAGCTCATTAAAATGCTCTATCAAGACCAACAAGCAGCAGTCAGAATAGATGGAGAGACATCAGACTGGTTTGGCATCAAGCAAGGAGT